CACACACACACACACACACACACACACACACACACACACACACACACCCACCTACACACACACACACACACACCCACCTACACACACACACATCTACACACCCACCCATCCACACACACCCACACACATCCATCCACCCACACACACACACATCCATCTATCCACCCACACACACATCTACACACCCACCCATCCACCCACACCCACACACATCCATCCACCCACACACACACACACATCCATCTATCCACCCACACATCCATCCATCCATCCATCCATACACACACACCCCCACCCACCCACCCACCCATCGACAGACAGACAGACAGACAGACAGACAGACAGACAGACAGACAGACAGACAGACAGACAGACAGACAGACAGACAGACAGACAGACAGACATCCATCTACACTCACACACATCCATCCACACACACACACACACACACATCCACACACGCATCTATCCACACACATCTACCCACACACACACACACACATCTAAATAAATATAAACAGAATACAGCTTTAAAATATCTAAAGCATTAATATATTTGAGTCAATTTATAACAAACTGAGTGAAAGGTTTTGGAGCATACAAGTTAAATTTAGAAATTTATTTTTTATAATATTTATTTTTTATAATGGTTTGTTTGATCGTTTTAGCATCTATAAAAAAAACATAAATACCAAAGAATTCAAAGAATGACTGAGGTCTTGCGATACTTGTGGCTAGAGCGAGAGCTTGGTTCTTCCGGGATATGCTGTGATTGGTCGATCGTCGCTGTTGAAGCGATCTGATTGGCTGCAAACGGGCCGAAGCGACGCGGTGGTTCCGGTAAAACATACCGATTATAAACCAGTAGAAATGGTTCTTTAGAGTGATTTCTTTACAGCCGGTTCCGGTTGTGGAGCTTTAATACACACACACCCCCGGCGGTAGCAGCAGGTGGGTGGAAGAGAGGATTAAATGTGTGCTTTTAAAGCGCGTTAGCTTAGAGTTAGCCTGCTAGCTTCTTTATTCCTGCAGCTTCACGTGAAGCAGTTATTCACCGTTATTACACCGTAATAGCACTCATTTACCGTCTTTACGTTACAGTCACAGTCCCGGTAATAACCCGGAATACTGCGTCACACTGTGACCTCACTGAATATATAACTATTAGTTCATAATGAGACGTTTTGCTTCCTCTATTCAGTTGTTTTTGATTAAATACCGTAAAATGTGAACGGAGTCTGGTGAGTCGCGCGATGGAGTATTTCATTATTAGAGAATGTTTTTTATTTTTTATTTGAATAATTCGATTATTAATACCAAAATCTAATCAAATAATTAAAGGTGTATTATGATAATATACTTTATTATATAAAGTCACTAAAATGAGCTGTCGCTGAATAGTTATACAATATATATATTATATCTGTATAGTTTACTAGTAGCAGAGTATTTCTACACTAGTACTACTGAGGTGAAGGAGACTCTAGAGGAAGCGTCTCCTCTACTCTCAGCAGCATCGTCTATGTTCTTCATCTCATTTCACTCACGTCTCTTCTTTAAGGAACATGGCGACCAGACGCAGATACGACCTCCAGTTCAAAGAGCGCGTGTTGGAGTACGAGGAGCAGAACTCTGCAGAGGAGACGGCGAGACACTTTAACATCGACATTAAGAGGATCCGCTACTGGAGGAGGCAGAAGGAGGAGCTGCTGCTGGTGAGCGAGGAGCTGGAGCAGAAGCTGTGGGAGTGGATTCACTCGATGAAACACCAACGCACCGCGGTGACTAGAACCGCGATCACGAGGAGAGCGCTGGAGATCTACCCGTCGGTGAGCGACGGGGGGAAGGCCTTCGTGAGCACCGGATGGCTACAGAACTTCCTGCAGAGGAACCAGCTCTCGATTCGCCGCCGCTCCGCCGAGCCACCGGCGGACCCCGAGGTCCTCATGGAGAGACTGGTCGGGTTCATCGATCACGTGGGGCGGACGGTGAGCGCCAAGAAGATCTCAGAGGGCGACATCTTCGCAATGGACGAGACGGCGGTTTCTTTAGGTTTAAAGAGACAGAGCCGGATCACCGTCGTCCTCGCCGCCGCCGCCAACGGCACCAAGCTGAAGCCCTTCATCGTCTTCAGAGGGACGGACAACGAGGAGCAAGCAAGCGGCGGCGCTGTGGTCAAGTTGTCCGTGAACGGCTGGATGAGCGATGCTCTCACCAAAGACTGGCTGCAGGCCGTGGTGGGGAAGTCCAACGGCGCCCCGCGGCTCCTGGTGTGGGACTCGTACCGCTGCCACGTCGGCGCCGCCACCAAGGCTGAGCTGAATGGCGGCTACGACGTCACGACGGCGGCGATCCCGAGAGGCTGCACCCGATTCGTCCAGGCCGCCGACGTGATGTGGAAAGAGCCCTTCAGGCAGGACGTGCAGGACGCATACCAGCGCTGGATGGACGAGGACACCGAGCAGAACCTCAGACCCCCCCCATGCCGCCTGCTGGTGGACTGGGTGGTCTCAGCGTGGGACAAACTGGACCCGGACCTCATCAGGAAGTCCTTCAAAGTGTGCGGACTCTCTGTGAAGAGAGACGGCAGTGAGGACCATCTGGTCCTCTGCTTCGGGGATGGACAGCCCTGCTCCGCCGGACGGGACCAGCTCACTCGGGTCCGACAGCAGAACCAGAACGACCAGGAGGAGGACCAGGAGGACGAAGAGGAGTTGTTTAACAATGAACTAGTGGTGCTTGATGATGAGGAGGCAGTCCAAGAGAAGGGTGAGGATGATGAAGATTCTGTGATGATTGAGACTCTTTTAAATGTCATTCATTCATTCATCCAATCACAGCCTTTGAGACCAAATGTTTCACAATAAAAGCCTCAGAAGATTCTCACCAAACTCCAAAAATAAAATATCAGATTTAACATTATTTAAATGTTTTCAGAACCACAGAAGAAGAAAAAGCAGTAGTTGTCTAAACTCTTTGTTCATTTGAATGTAACTTTATTTACAGACGCGGTGACACCGGTCATGTCCACCCCCCCCCCCTCCGGCCCACCTGCAGTGCCCCCTCTGTGGTCACTTCTCTAAGAGCCACGCCCACCAGCTGACTCACCTGGCGGCGTCTCACCCGACCCGTCTGGACAGAGCGACGGTCGGGCGACTCGGAAACATCCTGATGTACCAAAACACAGCAAAGCTCTTCCACTGCGTCGAGTGTTTCTACACCAGCAGAGACTTCACCAAGATATACAAACACCTCATCTCTAGACACTGTGAGGACCACCGGGGGGGGGAGGAGGAGAGGAAGACCAGTGAGGAGGAGGAGGGAGAGAAAGATGCTGTGAAGAGGAAGAGCAGTGAGGAGGAGAGGAAGAGAGAGGAGGAGAAGACCAGGGTGGAGGAGGAGAGTGAGAAAGATGCTGTGAAGAGGAAGAGGAGCAGTGAGGATCCTGAGGGTCCTGATGAAGACGTCTCCTCCCAGAAGGAGGAAGGAGACGAGAGCGTCCTGATGTTCGACGGCGCGGGTTATCACTGTCTGATCTGCGGCTGGAAGACCAAGCTGAAAGCTCTGGGAGTGAACCACGTGGTGAGGAAGCACGACATCCCCAGAGCCTACGCCTCCCAGGCCATCCGACGGGACGCTAACATCGGCGCTAACGCTAATTCCCCCGGACCGGCACAGGAGGAGGAGGGGGGGGCGGGGCTTAGCGGGGAGCAGCTGAAGGAGGAGATGGAGGCGACGGCCAAAGTGGTTCGCTTCATTTCGAACCGCTTTGTGTGTCTCATCTGTGGCTGGAAGACCAAACTCAAAGGTAGCGCCGCCTCACTTCCTGTTTGTGTCCGAGTCCGTTTCCTGTGTTGACTTTAAGCTTCCTGTTATTCAACACATAAATAGTGAGGATAACACGTAGAGCCTCCTGTTATTTAGAAAAGCTTTTATCTTGAAGGGAAGCGTGGTTTACTGTTGGAGGGGCTTTGTTGTAGATCGTTCTAGAGGTGCATGACTTTTACTTTGTAGAGGAAAAAACGAGGCCACAGACGGTAAACCGCTCTGACTTCAGAGGCGTAACGCTGCACTACATTACCCATAATGCTCTCCCTGTGTTACAGGTTTCGCCATCAGCCACGTGGTGCGTTGCCACGACGTGGAGAGACCCTACGGATGCCTCAGCTGCTCTCGAAGCTTCTTCCTGCCGAGTCGGCTGCAGCAACACGTCAGAGCCGCTCACCGACCCGGTCGGTACGCGTGTCCGTTCTGCTGCTTCAGGTCTCACTTCATCGGGGGGTTCAGGAGGCACTGCAGCCGCTGCAATGCCAGGAAGGAGGGGGAGGTGGGGGGAGCAGGAGGAGGGGGAGGAGTGGAGGAAGAGGAGCAGGAGGAGGAAGAGGAGGAAGAAGAGAGGAAGGAGAGGAGAGGAGGGAGGAAGAGGAGGAGAACAGAGAGGGTGATGATGGAGGAAGAGGACGATGATGACTGAATAAAAGACTTTGTTACTGATGTGGTTGTTTAAAGCGTCCTGTTATTTAAAAGGCTTTTATTGTGAAGGGATTTAAAATGAACTATTGGAGGGGGCTTTTATTGTGAAGGGGAAATGGCTTCCTAAAGGGCAGTGGTGGGAGAAGTTTAAAAAGCTTTTATTTTGAAGGGAAACGTAGTTTAAAAGTGTGTGTGATGACCTCACTCGTGCAGTGAAGACGACCTCGTTGATCACGTGACAGTAAACCGAGTCTGCAGTGATGAATATTTGTTATTTATTTAGCCCAAAACATACAAAACAAACCGACCAATCACACGAGAGTGTGACGGACGGAAGACGAAAAAAGAAAAACAACTTGAAGCACAGCAAAGGAAACACTTCTCTCTTTTTCAAAATAAAAGCCCAGCTTCTAATAGATCGTCACACTCTATATAATAAAGAGGACAGAAGACAAACCACCATCACACTGGTTTCCACTGCAGGAACTCTACACCAGCCACCCTTTAGTTTCAAAATAAAAGTCTGTAGGATTCATCATTCTTTTGACGATCAGTTGGATCCGTCCAGATGTTTACTTTGTTCTTCTGGAAAACCAGAATATGTACACGGGATTCATGTACACAAACTAAACTGTAACTAACAAATAATCTATTTTAATAACCGATTCATTTCTTCTGTTTTAAATCATATTAAACTGAATTTCTTTGGGTCAAAACGAGACATTCAAAGACTTTAATTAATGTAGTAAATCACAGATTAATTGATGATTAAATATTTTCTGCAGTGGAAAAAAGAGCTTTTAGAGAAAAGTTCTGACGCAAATCTTTTACTCTGAAATATCTAAATATTTTTACAGAAACAAGTCGTCACAACTCGACTTTTCTTGTCGTTGAAACAGGAAGTCGTCACACGACGATGACGTCATCGTCCTCGTGAGAAAAACGTTTTTTTTTTTAGAAAACTGCTCGTTCACAGCTGGAAGTCGACGCGACTCCGTCCCACAAACGGCTCTGGTTACCTTTCCCAGAATCCTTTGCTGTCCGTTAATAACTCATGAATGAATCCCTGACGACGGTGGAGGTCAGAGGTCAGATGTGTCGGGGGCACCACGCCCCCTCCAGGGCGGCCATGTTGATTCCTCTCAGGTCGCCAAAGTCGTCACCGTCTCCGTCGCAGATCTCGCCGTCGTCTTCGTGGTCGTCGAAGCGAGACGAGTAACTCGCCGCCGCCTTCTGCTGAAGAGATTAAAAGCACTTTTATTCAGTTATTATTCATCTTCATTTTGTCGTGTTATTATATTTTTATGTTAATGTTTTACCGTTCGGACCAGCGGCTCTCTGAAGGGCGGACAGATCATGTGGAAGCGAGGAATCACCACGTGGAACACTTCCTCTTTATTGGCTACAAAACATCAAAAAAACGACAAAATGTTAAAGAGTTAAAGAACTACAACCATTAAAGAACTACAGCTGCTTCACAATAAAAGAACAAAGGACAGGACTTATTACCCAGCCGGTGGAAAGTGTAGTGACCCTCCATGAACTCTGTCGGGGTGGAGAAGGTGGTGCAGCTGGCGTACTCGTGGACTTTCCCAGGTGTCATGACGGGAAACTCTCCTGCGCACGCACACACACACACACACACACACACACACACACACACACACACACAC